CCTCAGTTTAGGACTCCCCTTTCCAGATAATTCTAGCTTGTGTCAAGTTGACAAAAGCTGACCAGGGCAGTGAGGATGCAATAAGAACATGGTGAATAAATTGTACCATAAATCTCTGTCATTGCATTTGATCACATAGAGGGGGGAAGACTCATCAGAGACAACTACATTCACACACTTTATATACCTGTGTGACCACACACTCATAGATATAAATGTAGAGATAAAGTCCTTCAACATTAGGAATTCAAAAGTGACCTTCAGAACTATGACATTACAACATTTCCCTCCAGACTCATACTCCATGCTACGGTGCAAATGCAGCAACGCCAAAAGCTGTCAGAAGTGGGTCGTGGTATCGCGTTTAGACATAGAACATTGTTCCTACTGAAATTAAAGCAAGTTCTAAATAGGTTATTATTTTAGGATTTTCACATATATAATATGTGAATAGTATATATGCAAATATATAATAATAGATGCAAATATGAATGATTTATCTATATCTATCTATCTATACTTACACATACATACATACATACACATGACAAGGTCTCACTATGTAGATTAGGTTGGACTTGAAGTCAGAGATCTGCTTGCCTCTGCCTTCTCCAGTGCTGAGTGTGAGCCACCATGCCGTCTTGTATTGCACACACACACACACACACACACACACACACACACACACACACATACACACACACACACACACACACACACACACACACACACACACACACACACACCTATTTAAAAGGAGGCCAGAAGAGAGCATGAGATTCCCTGGGACCAGAGTTACTGATGGTTGTGAGCTGCCATGTGGACACTGGGACCTAAAACCAGATCCTCTGGAAGAGCAGCAGGTGTGCTTAACTGCTGAGACATCTTTCCAGTTCCTTCCTATGTATTTTCTTAACTAGTTCCTCATAAAACTGGTCTTTTGATATAGTCTGTGGCTGAAGGTGACTTTTTGGCAAATTTATGGAAATTATGGCTGCCTTTTGGAAATTCTTAATATAAATTAATATATTAAATGTTTCCAGAAACCATGTAGCTTCTAACAATATTAATTCGCCTTTATCACCCCTTCCTCCCTATAATTGCCCTAGAAACCACCTATTTCACATAACAGCTGTAAGTAGCATGGAGCAAAAAAAATGTTCTGGGCTCAAGGAGATGCTCAGTGGTTGAAATGTTTACTGCACCAGTGTGAGGACCTGAGTTTTGGTCCACAGCACCCACACAGAGCTATATGTGGTGTTGCACATGTATACTTGCATCACTTGGACAGTTAGACAGCAAGGGTGCAGGTGGGCACAGGAGAGTCCTCAGGAGCTCTCAGGTCAGCTAGCCTGCCACTCTCAGCAAGGAGCTGGAGAGCCAGGCTTGATATGTAAGGCGAGGTCTGACCCCTGAGGTTGCCCTCTGATCCCCACACATGTGCCAGAGTGCATGTGCCCATTTTATTATTTTAGAATTTATATAGATGTATGAGATTGGGTCGGGCTTGAACTCAGAGATCTGCTTGCCTTTGCCTCCTCCAGTGCCTCGTTTGAGCCAACATGAGTAACTTGTTAAAACTGGGAATATGTATGCATGCCCCTACCTCAAACATCACATGTACACAGAAACTTACATTCTGATTATTTAAAATATTGTGTCTACTACATTTTGAGAATCCCCAAAGATCTATTTAGCTTTACTTTGAAGGTGAGGCATTTCTAGTATTAACTTTGGTTTGTAAATGATCAAGGCACCTATGATATAAGTGCCAGGGAACAGGTGAATGGTGAAGCTGCAAGCTGTGTACACCTCATGGACCTGTGTGTGGTAAGGATGGAGGAGGAGGGTGGAGTGCCCACATATCCATCACAATTTGACTGTTGTCAAAAGTGGGTTCAGAATCTAAATACGCCCTCTATGAAAGCTCAAAACTCCATTTCTGTTGCTTCCCCCTCACTGTATTTGATTTTTCTAAGTCATTCTTTTAAAAAAAAGTGTTTTTCACAAAGGTCTAGCATTTTTAATGGTGATTTACAGCTCTATTTCAGTCTTCAAATTATATTCACGGTTATGTAATCTTATTTCTGTATTGCTGGTACACTCTCTCCTGCCCCACCTCATATCCTGCAGAAATATATTAAAACAACAGCACCATAATATGCTAGTCAGAACATTTACTACCAACTATTAGAGCACAGTGAAGACAAAACCCACAAGTGTAAGGCAAAGCACCTCAATGTGTTTGTACTCCTGTTTTAAATGGTCTTGAATAACTAGGATATAATCAACCATGTAATGAAAGTTTGCATAAGTCATCAGTGGGCCCTTTTACATTCACATAGAGGTGTAGGAGATCATTAGAGATGCCTTTAATTATCTATCCATGTGCTTATTTTTCTAAGTATCTGTATATTAATATCTCCACCTAAAACTTATAAACCGAATAATCTATAATTAAAATGTGATGATGATAAAATTATTAACCAAGCTGAAAAACATTTTGAATGTTCTCTTGACAATAAATTAAACTCTGAATTTTCTTCACTTACAAAATCATTATCCTACATAGCCAATTTAAATATTCTAATGCAGGAAAATAGAGGCAAGGCATGGAGATACATCGCATTTAATCCTAGTAAGGAAGGCAGAAGCAGAGACAGAGGCAGATAGAGGTCTGTGAGTTTGAGGCCAGCTGGTCTGCATAGTGAGTTCAAGGACAGCCAGAGCTACATAATAAAACTCGTCTCAAAAAAAAAAAATTAGTGAAGACAGGAGGAAAGAAGGTTTGGCGTTAAACAATATTGTAAAAAGAATAAATAAATACAAAACCTGTCTATACTATTAGCATGTATAAGGTTTAAATCCACAGAACCACAGAGTCTCAGCAATTCTAAGAACCATAAAACAAAGGCCTAAATTTCCTAGAGTTGTATGGAATGAAGGTAAACATTCCAACTCAGAATGAGAGTATTGGCCTTTAGGATCAATGTGCATGTCTGAAGGCTAAAGGAGATGTGTTTGCAAAGTGAATCTGGGCTGGTGAGATGTTCAGACGTAAAGGTGGCTTGCTATCAAGGTGAGGGAGCTGAGGTCCATCCCTGGAACCCCCATGGTAGAAGGGGGGAAATGGCTCCTGCAAGAAGATATGCTATGGTTTTCACATGGGCACCATAGCATGTGTGTGCATGCGTGTACACACACACACACACACACACACACACACACACACACACACACACAGAGTAAATAAATAAATGTAATTAAAAAATGAATCCACATTGGTCAAGACCCTCCTTCCATTAGGAAAAGAGATTAGCTGGGAAAATATACTGTCCTCAGTGTGGTTATAAGTTCAAATGGCTCAATTTAAAAAAGATATATATATATATATCTAAAACACTTTTCATGGTCAGGGATTAGCCGATGAAAAAATAAGTAGACCCAGATATGGAAAAATGGAACAGACTTCACAAGGAGTGAACTTAATTAGAATATCACAAAAGCTCCCTTTGAAAGGAAAAAGAAAACAACAATAGACAGAAAGAAATGGTAATCTTCTAAGTAGGGTTTTTAAGTGCTTGACTCTACCCACAGCTAAACAACATGAAAATGGAAAACCCAATGTAGAAAATGTGATCAAATGAAAACCAATGAGAATTTTCCTGATACCATTCCTATAACTTATTTTTTGGGCAGGAAATATAAACCATGAAGCAAATATTATACAGTGGTATTAAGATGAAAGCTATGAGGTTTTATTCCCTCAAATAAACATTTTCCCAAGGGTCAATCCTCAGAGTTCAGAGTTCAGTTATTAGTTTTGAAATGTTATCCTAACTCAATTTTTACCATGAACCCCATAGGGAATTACACATTAAGAGACTGGTTAGCCATCTTGTATCTACGTGCAGATGTTCTAGCCTTTGTGATTAAATTATTGCTATGTACATTCTTTTTCAGTTACCAAGACAAATGTCAGCACCGTGGAGCTGTTGGCTTGCTGTCAAAACCAGTGGTAGTTTGGAGTGCACGGTCTAGTGCCTCTTCTACATTACTATAAACACATTGATCTTCTAGGTACATGGTCGAACTCCAGTAAAGACAGAACAAGACTAGGTATAGAGTAGGCATTCTTACTAGCATTTAGAATTTCCTAGTAGGTACAGTATATCTATACACCTCCAATATTCCTATAATTAAAAGTAATGGCACTAATATCATCTTATGTTCAGAACCCTTATAATAATCTCAAGGTGAGGGGCTGTTGTTGGTAAAGTGTTTGCCGATAGCATCTCTTAGAGAGACATCATTCAGCTGTACATGCCTGGGAGGCACTTTTTGCATTCAGCGTTCATGAGATGATGCCCACAAAGGACAATAGTGACACTAATAAGACACAAGCTGATATTGAATGTTCAGGTGTAAATGAAACTTCTGTATCATTCCTCTCAAAGCACAGCGACCACCACAGAGGAAGGGATGCAAGAATGTAAGAGCTGGAGGAAGAGCTGGAGTGTCCTGAACACTATTTTCCAGGCATGAAAGTGGGGCACAATTGATGTCACAGAAGCTATGATTACCTGTACAAAATGGGGCCTGTCAACAAACTATCACAGGAGAGTGAGGCTTATGAAACCCTGCCCCCCCAGGATTTGTAGGAAGTTAATGGTTGATGGGAGGATGACTTTCCCCCCAGATGATTAATCATGCAAGCTCCTGTAAACAGTCCCCTATCTTTGCTTCTGTACGAAGCTCTGATGAAACCCATTGATCCATTAAAAACAAACAAGCAAAAAGTGCCATGGAAGTAGTGGAGCTGATTTAGAAGAGAGAGCGTATGAGAGTGTGAGGAATCACTGAGGTTAAATGTGACCAAAATGCATTCTCTACGAGTATGAAAATGTTACCATGAAGCTCAGTCTGTATAATTGACATCTGCTAATAAAAATATTCAACAAACAAGTAAATAGCATATTGAAAGAGAGACTGAAACAAACTGGTGGTAAAAACATGACCTTCCTCCACAAGGTCAAATAAGCTTTTATTTTGATTAAACACTACATACCATATATATCCATTTAAAAAAGAAAACTCTATAGTGTATATAAATTATTCCTTCCATTCCTTAGCTCTTTTCTTTTCCATTACAGCTTTGGTACAGTGTGATTTAGTTTATATATTTTTAAATACTTTAGCATCACAAACTCAACACAAAGTACAAAACTAATCCGAATCAGGGATATTGTAATCTACACAGTGGTATTCAGTGGTAGGAGAAAATCTTACCTTGATGAACTCATGTCACTAGCTAAGCTAGAAAGGCGTACCTAGCAGACATGACAGAAATATGCACCATTAACCAGCTAATGTGTGTATTAGTCTTTGATTAGTTTGTACAGAACACCAGCAGCAATCATTTGAGTGTTGAGTGAATACAGAAGTCCTTGGCCAGTCGCCCTAGCCTCCTCTTCCTGTGAAGGCCATGAGTTAACATCTGATGAAGTGGACCGCAGGCAGCCTGAGTTCTCAGAACTTGACCTGCCAACTCGCATTGCTCATGCTTGCACAGTTTGTCCTGCAGCTAGCAGACATGACAGGGACCGTGCTGGAAGGGCAGTGTGGACCCATCAGCCTTAGGTTGTTCTGAGGGCTTGGTGGCGTGACGTTACAGTACACAGGCATTCCGGTGGCTGGGAGTGACCCTTGGCCTGCCTGATTGGGCAGCATGATTGGCGGTTGGTATGTCTGCTGGGGCACTGCTTGAGAACCTTGGGTCATTGGCACCTGTGCAAGACACAAGCAAAAGTGTATGTGAAAAAGCTTCTTTGATGTCTTCAATGAAGTGTATGATATCATAAATATCACTCAAGTGTTGGAGTTGGACATAACAGGTCCCTAATTCTATACTTATCATTTATCAGCTATTTCACTTGGAGAAAGTCATTTGCTCTGCCTGACTGTACAACTTCTGATATTGTTGCATGGCGTCATGGCTTATGAATCATTGTGCTACATTTACAGGTATCCCAGGATGCAGGTAGCCTCTGGGCCATAGGTTACACATGCATGGATATCATTTGGATAAGTTCATCTCTGTCAACAAACCAAAGACCCACTGGAAGTATGGCAGAGAGAGATCCCAGGATGCAGCAGATATTTAGGTTCATGGACTCTGAGAGTCTCCTTCCCTTCCTCCTCTCCTCCCCTCTTCTGTCTTCTTCCTTTGCCCCAGGACAGCATCTGGATGCCCCTCTAGCTTTCTCTCAGCATGGAAAACCATGCCCCTTTCTGGTTTCATGAGAAGTAGCTTGGAGCCTACTTTAGTAAGGAGAGGGTTTTGTCCAGGTAGATGGGTTGAGTACAGTTTCTTTAAAGCTAGAAGCACCCAGTACAGCTAAATTGAATGACTGAATCATTTTACTCACTCCTCATTTCTTTTTCTAGAAGGCTTCAGGTTACAAACTATGAACGCATATATGATATGTGTTAAAGACTAAAGTTGCTCTGATCTGGAGAATTGAACTGTGCCTGCATTATTGGGCTTCTGAGATGCATCTGAGATGCCATTTAAAAATCCATGGTAACTTGAAATTATGGTAGAATAAAGTTTACTTGAGTGAATACAAAATATATTTGGTTTGCTACCAAGTACCATTTCAATAGAGTGCTCAAAGGGTCTTCTTGTGTAGAATATTAAAGAATTTTCTTCTATGAATAGGAAGTTTATATGGAAGTAAATTCAGCATAGCATTTAAAAGCCCAGACATTTGGAACAGCACCTGCACACTATTTTCTCCTTCTGTTTCTCAATTCAAAGTCAACTAATGGGTCAAGCATCCATGGCCCTACTAACCACCTAACACAGGGAACTTTCTATAGTGTTTACTTGGAAAAGTGTGAGTTTGTGGCCGGGCTTTCCCTGATGCTGGCACAAACCTGGTAAGAAGACATGGTTGGGTAGGAGACCATAACGCCCTGCACTGGGGCTCCTTGCTGGCTGCTCAACACACCCTGGCTGTGAGGTGACTGCTGTACTCCCATCAGGCCTTGGAAACCCTGCTGACCAGACAAGACTGGCTGGTAGCCTGTAAAGGAAAGGAAAAAAAAAGACCCTTCTGAATGGAATGTAAGAAGTTGTAACAGAGAGAAACTGTGGCAATGCTTTGGGTGTGAGCACTTGTTTCAAAGTGAGTCTCAGACATCTCAGTCTCCATGCTGTGAATATGCTCTCCAGGTGTTTGCTTCCTAAGAATGAAAAGTTTTCTAAAAGAAATATTGAAGTATGGGCAATATTATGGTTTCAAAAGGTCTACTGACATTTCCATTGCTACGTAAAACAGTCTAATAAAATCTTCTGATATTTCTATTGTTACAAAGAATGGTCCAATGAAAATCCTCTGACATTTCAATCGCTGCATAGGATGCTAAAAAAAATCTGACATTTCTATTGTTACACAGAATGGACTAAAGAAAAGTTGGTATTTCTACTGTCACACAGACTCATCCAATGAGCATATGTGACTATGATTAATTCTTTACTACACAGAGGCCTCTCTTGACATCATAAATTATAGCTTTCATGTTTGGTTTCCTTAGTGGTCCCAATAATTTCAGATGATTACAGATGTTTTAGTTTAAATGACTGCTTCACTTATTTTCCCACTCTCCTGAACTAGCTTTATGTATGCAGGGACCACAAAACAGTTTATTTACATAGTATGGATTCTGCTTGGCCATGTCCTAGTGAACAAGATGACTCCCTATGCTGAGTAATTGAACATCCACTGGGGAAAATGTGTCAGCAGGAGAAAAGCATTTTTATTCTGTTCAACAATTAGCTCCTAAGAGAACATTCCAGTAAAATACTCAATAAATAGTCATGAACATATATTAAATAGTATAGAATACAGTAATTTTTAAATTTACACATTTTTATTCATTTGTTGGTTGGCCTCCTTTTCTTTCTTTTTCTGAAGTGATAGAGCAGATTTGATTCTTTTATTTTTATCCTCAAAATAAGTAGTTTAAAATGCATTGTAAAAATATATTGATAACTGTTCTTATAAATGTCAAAGAAAGTTACGACTTAGATAAGATGATACAGTAGTAAATAAACACTTCAGCCCCTGCTGTAAAACAAGGTGTGTCCAGAGCTTATATAATATACTGCTCTGAGAAATTGAGGAGAAGAGAATCTTGCCACAGACACTGAGACAAGTTGTACAACCTGAGTCTAAAAATGCAACAATAACACAGGATGTATATACATTGTTAATAAACATCACGTATTGAGTAGTTGTGAAAGCTGTGACTTCATAGTGAGCAAAAGAAAGTGATAGCCCTTCACAGAAGAAAACACTTGGCTGGATAAATATGCATCTTCATTGATATCAGAAATACCCTGGAAACGTGGTCACAGAGAGTCACTGAGTTGTGTTCTCCAAGTCAATTTGGAGCAAGTTGCTAGTATGGAAGGCAGCAGATAGCAAGTCTGGGGATAGGTTAAGTTTGGAGGTCTGGCCAATGGCTACAATTAGAGGTTGAATCAGTGTCTATTCTAAAGTTACCTTTTAACCTGTCTTGTACGTACTTTCAGTTTTTATTCCCACTGCACAGCCTGTTCATTATTACAAAGGTTTTTAATTTATTAGGTTATTTTAAATTCTTGTAAGGACACCGCATATCACCAATATAATTAAAAGCAATGGCTGCCTTTCTGCTCTGTCCTCACCACAATGCATGCTCAAAGCTTTCCTTAAAGTGCTCAGAGTCCCATGTAAGCCTCAGAGTCCCATGTAAGCCTCAGAGTCCCACATAAGCTGAGTTAGCATCTTGAAGGGCTCACAGCTATAGTGTGTGTAGTTTAAAGGCAAACCCACCTGACTTGGGTTAAGAAATACCACAAAGGCCTTGCCATTGTTAACACTACTTCTCAAAAGGTCTTGGATGTAGAGGTGCTTGAATACATTTTCTTTTAAATGGTTTCTGTTGGTTGTTAGCGTCTGCACCCTCCATTCTAATCCATACATCCAACCACCATGAAACTTCCATCACAAAGATGGCAGGGGAGGTGGGTGACTTAGCAAAGCGCTTGCCTTGTAAACATGAGGACCTGAGTTCTGTCCATAGAACTATTGTTTAAAACATACGAATCTGGCTATGATGACACATGCTTGTAATCTCGGTGTTAGGGAGGCAGAGAAAGGAAGAGCCTGGGTGTTGCTGCCTTTCCAGCCTAGTCTAAGGGGTGATTTCCAGGCCAGTGAGGGACCCTAAATTAAAAAGAAAAGTGGTAACACCTGAAGAATCACACCCAAAGTTGTTTTCTGTTCTCTACACACACACACATGCACATATACACACACACATGCACACACATACACACACACATGCACACACACACACACACACACATGCACACACACACACACACACACATGCACACACACACACAGAGAAAGAGAGAGAGAGAGAGAGAGAGAGAGAGAGAGAGAGAGAGAGAGAGAATCCATATACCCAAAAGAAACGTATATGCTGAAGAGAAAATCTGAGACTATTTCACCATTTCATCTGAGTTCTTTGTAGCACGCACTGTTATGCACATAAGAAAATAACTTGATATGATTGTGGGAGAGTTACAATTCTGAGCTGGATTCTCTCTTACCATTTGCTTTTGTAACAGAGAGCAGCAGGCAATGTGAACTCACTGTCAAGGTCACACCACTGGGAGTATTATAGAGAGGAGTATTTATGCCTGAAACCTGAGGGCAATCTTTTAATATTTGGGATCTCAATGGATCTTTTACTGACTTCATGTAGCTGCTAGATCAGTGGTTCTCAACCTGTGGGTCATGACCCCTTCTGGGTATTGAACAACTCTTTCATAAGGGTAGCCTAAAACCATTGGAAAATACAGACATTTACATTACGATTCACAACAGTAGCAAATTTACAGTTATGAAGTAGCAATGAAAATAATTTTCTGGTTGGGGGTCACCACAACATGAGGAACTGTATTAAAGGGTCGCAGCATTGAGAAGGTTGAGAACTGCTGCTCTAGACAAATCATATAAAAAAATGAAGAGGAAAGGAGAGGCAAAGAAGAGGTGAGGAGAATGAGGGAGAAGGTGGCCTGATGTCTGAAGCTCATTTGCATGTTTGCTGATGGAACGCTCATCCTTCCGAGGAGTCATTGTGTTAACAAAGTGATATGGCTGAGAAGAAATTCATGTACCAGCACAATATCTAAACCAAACTAAGGTGAAGGGGAAAGAATAGGAGTATAAAAATGTTGACAGAGAGAGAGACAGACAGAGAGAGAGACACAGAGAGATACAGAGACAGAGACAGAGAGACAGAGAGATGGAATTCCTTTGTAGAAAAATAAAGGCAATATTTAAGGCCAGGCAAAGCATGTGCCCTATATGGAGATGAGTTGCCTCATCTCCATGTAGGGCACAGCCTGCTGCAGCGCAATACATCCTTTTTGGGTGCACAGGTGCAGCTTCATACAGCCTCTCCCTCCCCAGGCCTCATCCCAGGATGATTTGTGAGAGTTAGCATTGGTTATGCAGAGCAATATGCTACCAGCTCTGCACCGGGGTCCCACAGTAAACACACTTAAGGCAAATAAGGATTTATGTGGGGAGGGGGCGAATAGTCTTCAATTTCAAGATGAAAACTGAAGTGTAAGGGAGGCTCAATTTATATTCATGAATCCCATTCGTTTCTCAATTCGCTCTCCAGGCAAGAAATTTACATCTGGAATGGTTTAATTGGAGGTACCCATTTCTTTAAATTATGCCAGGGAAGGTGGGCTACAGAGGGGTCCCTAAGACAGGAGGCTGCTGGGAATGTGAGCTGAGCTCCCGTGCAGATGCAGAGAACTAAAAATAACATAGTGGTGACCCAAGAATGAACCAGCAGCTTCTGCCTGGGACAGCCTTTGTCTGAGGCAGAGATGGCAGAGCCCCTGGCAGCCTGCTTATCTTGCCTGCTCAAATGAAAAATGTGTTCCAGTTTGTCAATTGGTAGCTGTGAAATGATCACTCTTTCATATTTATTGAGGATTAGTCAGCTATAATACATCTTACAAAATAGAAAAAAGCAACACCCTGCTGCCTGATGGGCTTGCTCAGGAAATGATGAAGACATTAGCTGTTTTTATTATTTCATACTCAGTCAAGATTGATTCAATTTTCAAGTCACGTGTGCCATTTATTTTTCTGAAAGTGAAAAGGTTAAGGGTGGATGGATGCCTCCTGGCCACTAAAGAACCAACTCTACTAAGTGGAGACTTTACAGAATGTACAATGTCTGGTCCTTGTAAATCTGAGAAAGTTGGGCTTAAAGTACATGAAAGGTTGAATGCTGTGGGTAGTTTGAGGGACTTGGTTAATAGACAAACAACAACAAAAGTTTGTCCTGATGCAATACAATGAAAACTCAGAATGTAAAGGATCTACGTGCTACATTGTTGCAACTGCTATTTTAACTCTAACTTAAAGGATCTGCTCCAGATAACACTTTGGGAAAGAGTGAGATGGTAACAGTAGCCATCATTTGGGGATTTAGGGTAAACCTGCTGCTGTTGGCTGTGGAAATTGAAAACCAGGAGAGTGGCAAGAGAATGGATTTCTCACAAAGTTAGTTCTGGCTATCTTAATCTAACCGAGCAGTGTGATTTACATGTTAAGCTATCAGTGAAGCATTCTTAATGTGGTAGATGTCTTTTTCCACTATTAGTTAACAGTCTGTGTAATATAATGATTTTTCCTATCTGGAGTGATAGCTCAGTGAGTAGAGTGTTTGCCATGCAAGTGTGAGGACCAGGGTTCTGATCCCCAGAATCCACACAAATGCTGGGTAGGCAGTATTCTGCCTATAACTTCAGCATTGGGAAGGTAGAGACAGGGGATCCCTGGAGCAAGCTGGCTACTGAGACTAGCCATATCAATGAGCTCTGGGTTCAACTGAGAGGCTCTGCCTCAATGAATAGAGTAGAGATCAATTGAAAAAGACTGGCAATGTTGACCTTAGGCCTCTACATGTACACAAACATACACCTATACCCACACAAACACAT